GAGCCTATTGTGGTGTTCCGTCGACTCGGTCTTGATGTTCTCCATGCGGTCGAGGGCGCCTTGGAACAAAAGGTCCGCCACTTCTCTCCTTGAGGGTGAGGCCACCGTTGCCGTCGCAGATGTCGGTGATGGAGACCTGAAAAACTGGACCTTCACTGGGCGCACGCTACTGTCCAACACCGCCTGCCAACTCGGAGACCAGGGTCTTATACTCCTCGTCTGCGTCACCGGACAACTCTATAATAGTGGCACGCTGCTGGCGGACCCGTGTCTGGCATGTGTCCAGCTTGGCGAGCTCGTGCCCGAGGGCCTCCAGCTTGACCACCTCGGCTTCACAGCCGGAGGCGCTGCTGGAGGGGCTCGGCAGAAGTCTGCTTGAGCAGGCCGTCCGGTCTCTTCTTGCACCTCCTGGCAACGCCGGTGTCTCCAGCTCGCCCCGCCAAGGCTATGAGCTGCTCGAGCTCCTCAGCGTCGAGGTCATCGTCGCTCTGGGGCGGTGGTGCTTCACGAGCTTCAGCGGGTTCCGGCGCCCGCACGATCTCAGAGAGCGAGAGGCGGCTTAGGTTTGCGACGTGGACGCCAGCCGAGCAGAGCCTCGTTGGCGTCGGAGGCTGCTTGGCGTGGCCGTCCTCCTCGAATATACGCTCTCCCAGCCCTTGCCCCCCTTGGTCTGCTCGGCCTTGCCGCCTTTGCCACAGGGCGCAAGTCCTCCTCCACCTGTGCGCCAGTCTGCACAGGCCATGGCTTGACCCAGCTGAAAGAAAGAGACAGGGGCGTGGCGACTGGGAGGGGGAGATTGGCTCGCAATCTAAATGTGCCGTTCCAAAGTTCGAGATAGCAAGGCCCGACCTGGGCCTTGAACGGCTAGCTGCGTACAGAGGAGGAGGAGGAGGAGGAGGAGGAGGAGAAGGAGGAGGAGGAGGAGGAGGAGGTGGCGGGTGAGCAGGAAGCACGAGGAAACGGAGGATGATGAGGAAGGAGGAGGACGAGGACGACCAGTTGCAGCAGGAATCAGAGTGAAACGAGTGGGAGTAGTAGGAGGACCAGAAGAAGGCGGAGGATGGGAAATTGGGGGGACCACACAGAGGAAACAAGACTCGGGCCCAAACTAGTGGACCGCGCTGGGGCGAGACCGCAGTTTTTGAGCGACGGGAGCACAGCGCCGATCCGAACACGAGGCCCACGCTGCAGCGGGAGCACCACTTTGATCAGGAGGGAAAGAAACACACAGACACAATGAATCGTCGATTCCTATGAAAATATGGGAAAATATGGGAAGTGGGGGGGAAGACAGAAACCCAGAAAATACAGGAAAATATGGGGAATCCTTTTATTTGTGTGTATTTATCTGTGTGTCCCAGGGCCCCTTCATTTGAACCGGGAACTAATAGGAGTGTACAAACACAAAAGGAGTTCAATGTCTCCACATTATGTGTGTAAAAGATTATCCAGGCGAACGACCCAACCATATGCAGTTGTGGGTACCGCAAGTGTGAATATCTTCGGTGAAGCTCCCTATGGGGCCACGAAGCGCGAAACTGCGTGGGTGGAAATGCCAAATCCGGTGTGTAGGACGCATGCGGGCGGTCCCACTGGGGGCTTCGGTGGAGCTCGAGGCCACGAAACGTTGTACTGCGCGGGTGGAAATGCCAAATTGATTGCATGTATGACGCATGCGGGCGGTCCCACTGGGGGCTTCGGTGTAGCTCCCTATGGGGCCACGAAGTGCTGTACTGGGCAAATGGAACTGCATTGGGTGTGTGGGACGTATGCGGGCGGTCCCACTGAGGGCTTCGGTGGAGCTCCCTTATGGGGCCACGAAGCGCTGCACTGGTGGGTGAAAACGCCAAATTGGGTGTATGTAGGACGCGACGCATGCGGGCGGTCCCACGGGGGGCTTCGGTGGATTTCCCGGTGATGCCAGGAAGCGCTGTACTGGGTGGGTGAAAATGCCAAAATGGGTGCGGGGGGCGCATGCGGACGGTCCCACTGGGGGCTTCGTTGGGGCTCCTTATGGGGCCACGAAACGTTGTATTGGGCAGGTGAATATGCGAAAGCGTGTGTGTGTGCGCGCGTGCGCGTGCGTGTGCGTGTGCGTGTGCGTGTGCGTGTGCGCGCGCGCGCGCGCGTGTGTGTGTGTGTGTGTGTGTGTGTGTGTGTGTGTGTGTGTGTGGGTGCGTGTGTGCGTGCGTGCGTGCGTGCGTGCGTGCGTGCGTGCGTGCGTCTGTGTGTGTGGTGTGTGGGTGTGTGGGTGTGTGGGTGTGTGTGGGTGTGTGAGTGTGGGTGTGTGTGTGTGTGTGTGTGTTTGTCTGTGTGTGTGTGTGTCTGTATGTGTGTGTGTGTGTCTGTCTGTCTATGTGTCTGTGTGTGTGTGTGGGGGGGGGGACGCATGCGGGCTGTCCCACTGGGGGCTTTGGTGAAGCTCCTTATGGGGCCACGAAGCGTTGTACTGGGTGGATGCAAGTGCCAAATTGGGCGTGTGGAGCGCATGCGGGCGGTCCAACTGGGGTCTTCGGTGGAACCCCCTATGGGGCCACGAAGCGCGAAACTGCGTGGGTGGAAATGCCAAATCCGGTGTGTAGGACGCATGCGGGCGGTCCCACTGGGGGCTTCGGTGGAGCTCCCTATGGGGCCACGAAGTGCTGCACTGGGTGGGCGAAAATGCCAAATTGAGTGTGTGGTACGCATGCTGGCGGTCCCACTGGGGGATTCGTTGGGGCTCCCTATGGGGCCACGAAACGTTATACTGGGCGAGTGAAACGCAGGGGGGAGGGATGAGGGGGCCACGAAACGGTGTACTGGGTGTGTGGGACGCATGCGGGCGGTCCCATTGGGTGTACCGGTGGAGCTCCTTATGGGGCCACGACACGCTGTACTGGGTGGGTGCAACGCAGGGAGGAGGGAAAGAGGGGGAGGGAGGAGGGTGAGGAGGAGAAGAGGAGATCGCGGGGCACCGTCCCCTCAAAACGAGGACCCAATACCAGGAGATAGCACGCAGAGAGGGCCGAACATCTTCCCCACAGAGTCAGGGGAGAGAAGAGCGTAGTATTCAGAATTTTCAATTGTGAAGGAGGAGGAGGAGAAGGAGGAGGAGGCGGAGGAGGAGGAGGGGGAGGGGGCGAGCAGGAGGAGGAGGAGGAGGAGGAGGAGGAGGAGGAGGAGGAGGAGGAGGAGGAGGGCCTCCTCATCATGCTGCACCTCCTTCCAAGATCCCAATCACACTCTACCACCTCATCCTCCGCTGCCTTCTCCTTCGCCCTGCCCTCTTTGTTACCATTCCCCGTCCCCCCCTTCTTTCCGCGCCTCGTCCTTCCGCTTTCATTCATTTCTCCATATTCCCTCCTCCCTCGTCATCATCCTCATCCCTCAGGATCCTCTTCTGTAGTGGTAACCATCATGGCACAAGCTCGCCTCTTGCTATAACCCGATGTTACATGTCCAGTAGATCCGACACTCGCCCTATGTGTGTTCGCACCATGCCCAGGCGTGTTGTGCGTATGGCTGGTGGCGCAGGCCATCGCCCCGAACTCGCGTGACCTTCTGCGGCCCGTCAATGACAAAGATGGCCAAGCCCACGCGCACTCGACGCATAGCGTTGTCGCACCCCCTCTGCTTGCTCATCCTCCTGCTCCTGGTCATCTTCATCTGCCCCCTCCTCCTCCTCCTCCTCCTCCTTCTTCTCCTCCCCTTCTTTCACCTGCTGTCTCTCGGCAGATTCAGCCATGATTGTAGTATTCACCTTGATGAGTCCTCATCACGTTATCCTCCTCGTCATCATCGTCCTTCTTCCTCCCCCGAGCCTCACCGTCCGCCCCCCCTCCCCCTGCAGATTCCCCCCTCTTCCTGATACTCATCATCATCATCATCATCATCATCATCATCATCATCATCATCATCATCATCATCATCATCATCATCATCATCATCATCATTATCATCATCAGCATCATCATCATCATCTGCATCATCATCATCATCATCATTATCATCATCAGCATCATCATCATCAGCATCGTCAGCATCGGCATCATCAACATTATCAGTATCATCGTCATCATCATCCCACCAATCCACCGCATCACCACCATTATTATCATCAGCAGCATCAGCAGCATCATCATCATCATACTAATCACCAGCCTCATCCGTACCACCGTCATCAGAATCAGCATCATCATCGTCATCATCATCACCACCGCCATCGCCATCGTCATCATCATTACCACCGTCATCATCAGCATCATCATCCTCATCCTTATCATCGTCATCATCTCCACCATCATCATACTTGTCCTATGTGTTCCCTCATCGTTAGTTGCAGTAGCAGCAGCAGTCGTAGCAGTGGTAGTAGTGTCGTGCATCATCCGCTTGGGCTGCCGGGTTCTGACACTCAACCCATCAAATGTCAAAATGTCTTCATCGGTCGGTTCCATATCTTTCCCATGTTCCCCTCTCCCCACCCCTGCTTCTCTGCTACCTCCCGCTCGCACTCCTCATCTGTCTTCGCTTCCTGCGCCTCTTTCATCCTATTCCCCTCATTCATGTCATCTTCATCCTTCACAATATTGTGTTCCTCCTTCGCCTCCTCTCATCCTCCTTTTCTCCGTCATGCGTCCTTATCTTCTTCGTCTCCAACTCTATCCACCTTGTTCTCCTTTCCGTTCTCCTCCACCTCCACACCCTCACCCTTTGTTATCGTGCCTCATATGCCTCATCACCTTTATCAATCCTCCCATGCTCGTCATACCGTCAACCCACATGGGAAGGATGGGCGATGTTCCAAGGTTGCCCTTGCATCGTTCCCCTTCGGCCCATCCTGGGCCGCTTGCCGGCCGCGCCCCGCTCGCGAAGTGTCGACATGGCATTCCACGGCCCTTGCATCCTTACCGAGCGTCCTTAGTGTACGGTCTAACTATACTGCTCGCACTGTTCCTCCTCTTGCATCGTGCTATTGTTCCTCCGCCGAAGGGCGGGGGAGAAGGCCGCATGCCAGCGCCCAGGACAGAAAGGAGGCGGTCCTGCCCGAGAACGACGCCCCGTGCGTCGGGCTAACGCTCAAGGCTCTGGACCTTCCCCGCCTTCTCCGCGTTACCATTATTATTATTATTATTCCTCCTCCTCCTCCTCCTCTTGCTCGTCCTCCTGCTCCTCCTCCGCATCCTCGTCCAGCTCCATTTCCTCCTCCTCCTCCTCCTCCTCCTCCTCCGCCTCCTCGTCTGGCACCCCCTCCTCCTTCATCCTCTTCCTCCTCGTCTTGCTCCTCCTCTTCCTACTTCTCCTCCTCCTCCTCCTCCTCCTCCTCCTCCTCCTCCTCCTCCTCCTCCTCCTCCTCCTCCTCCTCCTCCTCCCCCTCTGGCGAAATCTGGCCGAAGTCGGAGGAGGCAAGCGCTGGAGCACCGTGGCCTCCCGCCGAAAAGGTGCGGTGCTGCGGGCACGCCCGCGTCCAGAGGCGGCGCAGCAGGGACGGGAGGGAGGGGGGGGAGGCCCGGCGGGCCCAGGCTGAGGACGAGTGGCCCCAGGGCGTTCCAGGACGCTCTCGGGAGGTTCTACAGGGCGCTCTGGAACGGCCGCGGCGCCCCTGGGAAGACAGCGGCGCAGCGCCCAAACTTTCCTTTCCCGAGGCGTGGAGGAGGAGAAGGAGACGGAGCAGGAGGAACAGGAGGAGGAGGAGGAGGAGGAGGAGGAGGAGGAGGAGGAGGAGGAGGAGCCGGTGGGAAGACAGCGACGTAGTGCCGAAACCTTCCTGAGGCGTGGTTCCCGCGGCCCCCCTCGGGTTTCAGACCCCCCCGCTGGTGCGGTGGCCCCAGCAGGGCCTCGGTAGCCAGCCGACCTGGAAGCCACTCTGATCAGTAGGGGGAAAAAGGCACACAGGCACAATTGATCGTCGATTCGCTAGAAAATAGAAGGAACATAGGGGAAGTGCGGGGGGGGGGAAGACGAACATCCAAGAAACACAGCAAATATGGGGAGTCCTGGGATTTGTGTGTATTTATGTGTGTGTGTCCCTCGGACCCTTCATCTGACACCACACCGCCACTTCGGGAACTACGGCTGATGTCGCGTATCGTGGCCCGCGCAGCAAGTCTTTATTTTGCCATGCGCCCCATGCATCCTCCCGACCCGCTTGCTCACAGAGATTCCCGATGTATCATCATCCGGACTATTCCTCATCTTGCCTTCGTCTTGGGAAGAATAGGGGTGCGCCCCCGGCATGAAGGAAAGTCAACGGTGATATAAGTCCGACTTCCTGGCGGCAGCTTTTAACATTGAATCCCAGGATGTCGCATTTCCTCTTGGATGACACGAGGGAACACGGCAAAGGGGATTTGGGGAGGGGGAGGGGGGAACTATCTGAATCCTAGTATGTAGCATTCTTCCTGCATGAAATGAGAGAACAAGGCAAAGGGGGTGACGCGTTTGGGGAGGGGAGGGGACGGCGAGGTCGAATGAAGGGGGAGGGGGACGCCTCGACCTCGCTCGGACGTGTGCGTCTTTTCTTTGGCGGGGACCATCGCGGAACACCTTGGATCCTCCGGCAAGAAGGTCCACGCAAGAGCATTGACTACTGCACAGGGCATGCACGGCAGAGCCATGGCAAGACACGGGAACGGACAGGGAGAGCTACCCGTTGAGCTATCCGTGGCTTCTTGTACCCCGCGGGGTAGCGGCCACCGCGCGCCGTGTGCCGACATCTGCGTCAGGGCGGGGGGGTATTGTCCCTTAGGACTCGGCCCTGCGGGGCGGGCCGCAGCCCAGGGAGAAAGAAGGGGGAGAGGGGGACAGTGACGGTCTTGTTCTCTCCGAGGAGGCGCGGGTCACTGCCCCCCCTTCGCAACGAGGGGCGAAGGAGCCGCTCGGCGGCGAGCGAGGGGGGGAAGTGAGGAGGGGCGGGCCTTCTCAGAAGGCTCGGAAGCCACCCGGCCTTCTGAGAAGTTCTCAAGGACTTCCCCGAAGACACAGAAAACCTTTCAGAAGGCGCGAGGGTTTCTGAGAAGTCGCGCCGCCTTCTGAGAAGGCCATCTCCTTCTCACTTACCCCTCGCTCGCCGCCAAGCCGCGGCCCACCCAGCACGCTAGCTTCGGCTCGCCGGAGCTCAGAGGTGGGCGGAGAATCCCCCTGGCCGCGCCCTCTGGAGAGAGAGGCGTCAGACGGGAAGGCTGAGGGCCCAGACCCTCTCGGGCCAGGAAGCTGCTCTCAGCCTCCGGGGGCCCTTACCGAGCCTCGGGACCGTCAAACAAATGATTCAGGATGAGAAGCCGGTCCTAGGGAATGGATCCAGAATTGTGTGGGTTGATGTTCTGACACAATCATGAATCATGAAGTCGGGGGTCTGGGAGCCTGTTCTTTTCAGACTTCGGCCAAGTTTACTTGCATGACGTGCACGCAAGTCGATGCAAGCAAGCCGCAAACGACTTGCACGTGCAGAAATCATGCAAGTCGAAAGGCACTTGCGCGCTAGTATTCGCTTGAAGAGGGGCGGGAGGGGGGGCGGGGTTGTCGAACGCCATGCAAGTCAGCTGAACAACACCTGCTCCAATCATGACGTCTGGGGTCCGGGGAGAAGGGGCTCAGGGCTGCGGAGACCAGGACACTGCAAGCCAGGACATTGCCAAATCCACCCGGAGAGAACGAGGAGTGGGGGATGTCTCGGCCCGCGTCTGCAGAGTTGCTGGGTGCGCCAACATCCTGGTTGATCAAAGCCCAGTTGTTGTTGTTACGGGGAGTGGTGACGAGTGTAATCCTTGTCTCTGGGCCTCCTAGATGGGGTCCGAGTAGATGGTGTCGAAGGGTCGCGCCGCATCGCCGATGCATCGACGATGCGGCTCGATGTGGAACCCGAGTTTCCCCACGCCGACGTCGCGGATGCGTCGCCGACGGCGGCGATGCATCGTCGATGCATCGCCGATACATTGGCGATGCATTGACCGTGCGGCGCGATCCTTCGACCCCATCTGCTCGGACCCCATCCAGGAGGCCTCCAGTGTTCTGCCCCGCTCCGCCCTGGCCATCCCCTGTGCCCCCGTTCACCCCGTCGCTCCGTCCCTGTGCGGTTCTGCCCTGGGCCCCCCCGTCCATCCCCGCACTTCGCCACTTCGCGTCCCTCGCTGAAGGCAAGCGTTGTCCGTAGACGGGCCAACGGCGGTGTAGGCAACGGCGACGTAGGTTTCGGTGGTGTGGGAGCACGTGGCCCGCGTCTTCCTTCCATTCGCTGTGTCGTGATCGCTCGATCCACTCGCAGGTTGGAGGTGTAAGAAAGTGTGGCCCGTGACTTCCTACAAGTTGGTTCCCAACATCACCGTTAAGCAACATAGCCGTTAGCCTGGCCTTGGGCGTTGTTGCGTTCAGTGAGTTCGCTGCGGCCACCCATGCCGCCGCAGAGACTTGGCGGAGGAGCGCCCCCGCGGGGGGCAGCGCGAAACACCCTTGACACCGAGAAAATTGCGCAACTCTCCCCACAATCGTCCAGAGTCCGTCCCGCCCTGCCCCCCCCCCCTCCCCCCTCCTCCTCCTCCTCCTCCTCCTCCTCCTCCTCCTCCTCCTCCTCCTCCTCCTCCTCCTCCTCCTCCTCCTCCTCCTCCTCCTCCTCCTCCTCCTCCTCCTCCTCCTCCTCCTCCTCCTCCTCTCCTCCTCCTCCTCCTCCCTCCTTCTCCTCCTCCTCCTCCTGTTCCTCCTGCCCCTGATCATCCCAGCCCTTCGCGTCCCTCGCCTTGTCGCTACATCCTCGTCGAGGACTGGGCTCAGCATGCTCGTTCCTCTTTCTGGCCACGGTTCTGTCGGGCGTATCCCCCTACAGGGGGATTTTCGACGAAAAATTAAAAATACCCTAAACATACCCCAAGAAGGTTAAAACATGCTCAAAAAATAGTCCTCTGACTATTTTCGGACTATTGTTTGATTATGTTTGGGGTATTTTTTACTTTTCGTCGAAAATCCCCCTGTAGGGGGACAGGCCCGACTTAAGGCCACGGCTCATTGCATGAGTTCGGCCATCGCAGGTCGGCTCTTGTAGTGTGCAAAGTCTGGCGACCGTTTGATTCGCACAGCGGTTCGGTACGATCGACATGGGTACGGAAAGAATGGGTACGAAGTTTGTCAGAATTTCAGAATTCCTTATCCTTTTTGAACAAAACTCCCTGTCAGCGTCGCCGCGGTCATTGTCCACTTGAGACAGAAGGCCGTCTGCCCGATGGCGGCCGCTGCCGGTGTCGGACAACATGTGTTGCTGTGCATCGAGCCCCTGTTTTCCCGTACTTCGGGCGTCCAAAGCGGTCGAGGCAAGTTTTATGGTCGCGTTCCTTCTCAGGGGCGGCCTACCGGACAGCTAGCAAACCATCCCTTTCCGTGACGTTCCCCTCGCCTCGCCCCAAGACGGATGTGTGCGGCCAGAGGGAAGTTTCGGACAACATGTGTTGCTGTGCATCAGCCCCCCTTTTTCCCGTATCCTTTCCGGGCGTCCAAGGCGGTCGAGGCGAGCTTTGCGGTCGCGCTCCTTCTCAGGGGCGGCCCAGCCGACCCCCAGCACACCAGCCCTTTTCCGTGACGTGCCCCTCGCCTCGCCCCGAGGCGGATGTGTGCGGCCCGAGGGAAGCCTGAAGGGCGAGGGCGACGTCACGGAAGGGGGTGGTTTGCCAGGGGCCAGTTAGGCGTCGCCCGATCTTCTTCCAGCAGAGCTCGGCGTCACCCCGACATCTTCATACCATATGTGCGTCGCCCTCCCCCCCCGGGGCGACGCGTGCACCAAGAGCTCTTCCAGTGAATGCGTCACGGCGAGCGCGTTCGGGCCGCACCGTTCGGGAAACGATGTGCTAGAAGCTGGGGTATACTACATTATATGTTCGGGTCGGACGCGCGCGCCTCCGAGAAGGACATCTGGCATTCCTGCTCCTCCGTGCGCCCCGAAAGCCCTCGTCGAGGACGGGGCGCCCCGGCGAGGGGCCGCAGCGCCCGAGCGAGCCGCGGCGTGCTGCGCCGAGGGGGGTGGCCGCGGCCGCCCGCGCGGTGCGTGCACGCTTGCCGTCGGCCCGCCGCGCCCGCGCCGCTGCCGCCGCGGCTGCTGGAGGAGGAGGAGGAGGAGGAGGAGTGAGGAGGAGAAGGAGGAGGAGGAGGAGCGAGAAGGAGGAGCGAGGAGGAGGAGGAGGAGGAGGAGGAGGAGGAGGAGGAGGAGGAGCGATGAGGAGGAGGAGGAGGGAGGAGGGAGGAGGAGGAGGAGGAGGAGCGAAGAGGAGGAGGAGGAGGAGGAGGAGGAGCGAGGAGCGAGGAGGAGGAGGGAGGAGGGAGGAGAGGAGGAGGAGGAGGAGGAGGAGGAGGAGGAGGAGGAGGATGATGAGGAGGAGGAGGAGGAGGAGGATCGCCTTGCGCCCGAGTGGCACTTGGTGCGGGCGCACTGGGGCCCCCAGATGACCAAGCGACTGGCGATGGCAGCGTCTTGCGCGCTCGGGCTTGGCCTGCCCGCGGCCACCGAAAGGCGCGCACCCAAGGTCCCTCGTGCCCAAGGAGCACTCTCGCGTCCAGCCGATCGAGGCGAAGCGACACCAACACCACCAGGGACCCACCTCCAGCGAGGAGGTCTACGATGCCTCCCCGAGCTAGGGACAGGGGATGTCTCGAGCGAGAGGGGTGGACCACACCAGCAGGGGCAACCCTCCCTGGCTCCTCCCGCTGGTGATCCCTGGTGGTGTGTTGGTGTCGCTGTTCCATGTTCCTACCTCGAGGCGTCCGAGAAGACCGAGTGCATGCTGAGCCTGGTGCAGCCAGAAGAAAGGTGCGGCCCTCGGCGGGGGAGCTCGGAGGAGGAAACAGTACCCTTGTTTGGCCACGCGCAGAAGGGGTGTAGGGGGAGGGGGAAGGCTTCTTAGGAGCACCCCTGCTTCTTAAAAGGCGCGGGCCTGATCTATATAGATACAAGGCCCGCGACTGGTAAGATGCAGCCTGCTTCTCAGAAGCCTTCCCACCTCCCCCGACCCCATGTGCGCGCGCCGCCAATTTGGGGGCCTCCTCGAGGCCCTCATCGCCACCGCCGGATTTGCCTCGAAATTCTGGTCAGAGCGCATCCCTGGAGAGGTCCGGGGAGTAGCGGAGCGGCATCAGTACCTTCTAGTCTCCCCAGGGTGGGGAGAGCGGTCGCCATGCAGTCCAGGTCACCCGCGGGGGCGCGAAGATAATCAGCCGCCTTCGCGTCTCGATCCCGCTCTCTCGCAAGCCCTACCTCCTCATCCTCATGCTCCTGCCCCTCCCCCTCCTCTTCAGTTAGTGCGTTGCGCCTTTTATTTTGAAACTTGCCAGGCAAATCTTCATTGTCACCCCTGGAGCCTCGAACTTGATAATATCTGGGGCATTCTTAGCAGGGATGCCTGGTTGCGCGCTCCGAGTAACTACAGTCGGCCGCGCTCTTGGGCGTAGTCGACGACGCGTTTAGCGTCCTTTGCCGAAGGTTGGGTTCTGTATGCGGGGGGGAGGTCCCCAATCGGGTCCACGGGTCCTGCGGGAAATGGGCCCGGAGGGTGTTCCCCATTTTCGGGCCCTCGGGGCCGTCCACGGGCCCCAGGACCGTCAACAAATTGATGGGCTTGTTTTCCTCCACCACCACCACCATAAGGTAGAGGGTGGAAGGAGGTGGAGAATCAGGAGCAGGAGGAAGAGGAGGAGGGGGAGGAGGAGGAGGAGGTGGAGGAGGAGGAGGAGGAAGAGGAGGAGGACCCCCTCCCCCTCCTACCTACGGTGGTGGCGGTGGAAAACAAGCCCACCACAGGATGATGAGCTTCGGCGGCGCGCCTGGGGTGGAAGCGAGAAGGAGAAGGAGAAGGCCTTCTCAGAAGGCGGCGGGGCTTCGCAGCAGCACGCCGGCCTTTTGAGAAGTTGTTTTTCTTGCGTCCCCGCGGAAGGCTCAGAAAAATGTGCTAAGAAGGCTGGGGGACTTCCGCGCCTTCTGAGAAGGCCCGCCCCTTCTCGCTTCCTCCCGGGGCTCGCCGCCGAGAGCTGGTCCTGGTGGACGACCCCGGGGTCCAGGACCCCTCCCGGGCCCGTTTGCTTCGGGAAGGGGGGACTGGAGGGGGAGAGAGGCTGAGGAGGACAGGGCGCGAACTGAACGAGTGTTTGGCGATGTTGTTGACCGTCTTCATTCTGATCTTGTCTTGAGGCAAATGGCGGAACAAAGACAGACCGAGGGAAAACGCGAACAACATGAGGACGGAAAACACGGTTTCGCTCGAGCCCCAGAGGAGGACTCAGAGGTACAGCTCTCGGAGGGCGCAAAATTAGCTTGGCGAAGGACCCAACCACATGCAATTGTGAGCACCGCCGTTGTATGCACCGCATTCAGAGGAGCTCCCTATAGGGCCACGAAACGTGTAAGGGGTGTACCAAAGTTTGTCTGGTGGGCGCATGCGAAAGCAGCCACTTGTTCCGTCGGTGGAGTTCCCTATGGGGCCACGAAACGCGTGAGACGTTCCAGCGATTCACGCGCCGACGTCGACATTGATGATATTGCATTTTGTCATAGGCCAGTCGACCTTCGGCAAGACACGAGGTGGGTCCAGGACGCTTCAGCTCCTCGTGAGCACCACGGACCGCCTCGACCCAGTGTTCCAGGCCAGCCCCCCCCACCCAACATGTGGCAGCAGACAGTCAAGCAGTCTTGGGTCCCTGCGCATCATGAGCTCATGAATCAGCGCTTACCCACTCAGGAGTCCAGGCCCTGCTCTACGGTTCGGAGTCCGGCTAGTGCGGCATGGGCTATGCTGGATCGTTTCGGCCCGCTTTTCAGGAGCCAGGACGCATGGGAATGATTGTCGACGAGTTGCTCTAGATTTGCACGTGTTCGACAAGAGGATCCCGCACGTGGGCCCCAGATCCAGAGGACCCACACAGCATCGCGCCTCCCACGTTGGGCCCCGCGCTCTACACCCCGATGGAGCTCAGGAAGGCCAACGGGAACACAGCTGCTGCATGTTTGTGCGATGTCGCTGCCGGAGGACACCCGACCCAGGGTGTTTGGTTCCGCGACACACGGATTTTTTCACGGATGTGCAACGCGAGCGGTACAGGCTCTCCAGGTGCGACGGGTTCCTCCTTGACCGCGGGGGCTTCGGCATGCCCCAGTGTGTGTCACAAGGCCAGGCCCGCTCGGAGCACAAGCTCCTCTCGACCCGAGCGCTCGCAGCTGGCCCCGACCACGACTGGCCAATGCCCTCGACGTCGAAAGGCTGGCGCTGGGAGAAGGTACCGTTCGGAGGCCTGCTCGGACCCAAGCTGTGCGTCGACAATTGGGGTTTCGACTACAGTTCTTGGTGAGCGGCACGCGCAGGTTGGACAGCCGCGCCAATGGACGACACCAGTATGCTTACGGGTAGTGCGTTCGGACCTTTCACCCAGTACACGAAGCAGGGACAGAAGAATTGTATACCCTCCTCGTGGCGTTGACCTTGGTCGGCGTTGCCCCTCAGATCTAGGTGTACTCTGACTGTCGGGCTGTCCTGGACGTCTGGGCCCGCGGGCCCGAAGCTGATCTGAGTGAGGTTGCGTTTGCCGAGCTTTGGGTCCAGATCTGGGATAGAGTCCAAGGCACAGGTTTGCGAACGTATTCTAGACGCTTCGCGTAAACTCATCAGCCCATCCAGGAATGGTGCCCAGACGAGTTGCCATGATCAGTGGTGTGATGCAGCACGCAGTGGCAGAATGGGCCGGGTAATACGTCATGCTCCAAGAGGGTGGAGGATGGAGGAGGAATCGGAGGAGCAGGGGGAGGAGGAGGAGCAGGAGCAGGAGGAGGAGGAGGAGGGAAAGGGGGAGTGGGGCAAGCTAGGTGCACTCGCGTCAGATCTGACGTCCTACCTCTCCATCCCATCCCTTACCATGGCGGAGATCTCCAATGCACACAGTCAGATGTCGTAGCAGGGCATAACATTACACGGCATAGCATGGTGGTGAAGATCAACGCGTAGCCTGACATAGCATGGCGTGGCGACGCCCCAAAGCGTGGGGGGGGGGCTTCTGCGGCGCAAAACTCAACGAATCGATTCCGAATGTGGAATCACTTCCGATGGTTGTTTGGGGGGGGCATTCTTCAGATGTTGGTGCCCAGTTGGACGGACCGAAAACCATGCCGTGGCATGGCGCTGGACACAACGACGCCAGCACTGCAGCGGGAGCACGGTTCGGAACGAGCGGAGGAGTGGAGAAGAGGCCAATGCCACAGCGGGAGCACGATTCGGAGGACGCGTCGCTTGACATAGTATGTCGTGGCAACGCCCCAAAGTGATGGGGGGGCTTCTGCGGCCGAAAAATTCAACGAACCGACACTGAACGTGGAATCACTTCTGATGTTTTTTGTTGCGGGGGTGGGGCATGTTCTAGATTTTGGTGCCTATTTGGAAAGACCGAAAACCATGCCGTGGAATGGCGCTGACAATAATGACGCCAGCGCTCCAGCGGGAGCACGGTTCGGAACGAGCGGAAGCTCGGAAATGAGGCCAGCGCTGCAGCGAGAGCACGATTCGGAACAAGCGGTAGCCCGAAAATGAGGCCAGCGTTTCAGCGAGAGCAGGTTTTTGAAACAAACCCAAGCGAAAAGCCCCAACTCCCGGGAATCTTGAGTGTGAAAAATCAGCGCGCGGAGGTGGGCTGAATATTTCCCGGACGTCACCAGGGGGGAGAGGAGATTCGTATTCATATTGTGTGATTGTGGAGGGAGGAGGAAGGAGGAGGAACAGGCGGATTAATGAGAAGAGGAGGAGGAGGGCGAACAGAAAGACCAGAAGCCTCTTGGATACCTCTCGGAGTCTCTTCGGATTTCTGACGAGAGCTTCGTGGAGTCATCTTGGGGTGGCTCGGGAATTCCTTGGCAGTCCCAGGGGCCTCTTGCGGCGTTTTGAAAGCCTTTGGGGCGCCTCTTGGGGCATCTTCCGGGTCTCTCGGGGGCCTCGCCTCTTGGGTGCCTCTTGGGTGCCTCTTGGGGGCCTCTTGGGCACCCTTCGCCTGGGCACCTCTCGGAGCCGTCTTGAGGCACCCTTGGGAGCCTCGGGGGCCATCTTGGAAAAGATCGATCAACAGAGGGGAACTCCCCAATTAGATCCCCCCTCCCCCCACCCCCAGAAGGCCAACACTTGGCCAACACCTTAGTAACAACAATTTTGGTGGTTCCCTCGCCGAGGCCAGAAAAACACCCTGTGACACCTCGCGAGCCCCCCACGTGCAGACCCAGGCGGGGGGGAAGGAGAGGGTTAAACCCTTCCCCGCAGGGTAAAGAGGGGGTTGGAAGAGGAAACTCTCTAAACCGCTCACGCCCTAAATGGCTGGTGGGATATAGGCCAGACCGAGGTCTAAGATCGAGGTCGGTCCGGGGAGGGTACCCTAGCGTTATTCGTGTTTGTCCCATGCTCTTGTGCATCCTGGGGGAGGGTACCCTCGAGTGATCTGATGGTTTTGCGTGTTTTGGCCAGCGGAGAGTCTCATGCTCTTGAAAGGATGTGTTTCTGTCCTAGGTCCGACCGTAGCGTGCATGAGATATAGAGTCACATCTTGGTCTCGCTGCTTGTCCACACTGAAGGCTAGCCCCGCACTCGGCCTGGAGGGGAAACGATCTCGCTGGTGGCCCTGCAAAGCGCGGTGCACGAACGCATCCTTGCAGTCTTTGCCTCAACGATCGCTCTAAGCACTGGAGTGCTCAGATATCAGATTGCCAGCGTCGTTTCTCAGTATGGATTCCGAAATTTGGCCGAACGGGGCGGGGGACTGGGTTCGGATCTGGGCCGGTGCTTAGTCGATCTGTTTTTACCAGTCGCGCCAGCAAAATGTGGGGAAGGAGTCCTTGCCTCAGCGATCGCTCTAAACATTGAAGTGCGCAGATAGTGAGCGTTCCAAAAATGGCCTTGCCTTCGGGGATCGAAGGAGTTGCCATCGCTTCCTCGGCGGAAGGCGGCGGAAGGCCAGCGGAAGGCGGCGGAAATAAAACGAGGCCGTCTCCGTTGGCGGAAGCCGGCGCAAGGCTGGCGGATGGCGGCGGAAGTAAAAGATGCGCCCCCAAGAGACGGCAACATGTTTGGATTCAGGGTTCACGAAATCGGCCATATCAGATCTCAGCAAGGACATTACCTGTTTCAGGGAGGTGCTAATCGGTAGGGGTCTTCCCGATGTTCAGACAGGCAAGGCCCCTCCCGTTTCAAGCATGACCCCCCTTTGGTAAGTCTGTGATCGGAATGGGCAAGCCGTTCAAGTGGCAGGCACGACGTGGAGGGGCAGTTTCAGATGCACGAAGTGCCGAGCTACAGGGTTCAGCGACTCCTCTCTTTGGCACGGCGGGCTCATCCCAGCCATGAGCTCTGGATCACAGCAGGGCTTGACCAGAACAGTGTTTCGGCGATGTCATAAGCCGTTTTCGTGCCGATGTCGTGTTGCGGCACAGGCGGATTGAAATTGGGGAAACCAACAACAAAACGAAAACGAATGATTACTGCGCGATCCCGATTGGGGGAAAGTTTGCTACTGCGTGGGCGCAGTGCTTGGCATTGTTTGGCATTGCTTAGCATTGCTTAGCACTGATTGGCATTGCTTGGCATTGCTTGGCATTGCTTGGCATTGCTGGTCATTGCTGGGCATTGCTTCGCATTGCTTGGCATTTCCTGGCATTGCTTTGCATTGCTTTGTATTGCTTGGCATTGCTTGGTATTTCTTGGCATTGCTTGGCATTGCTTGGCATTGCTTTGCATTGCTTTGTATTGCTTGGCATTGCTTGGTATTTCTTGGCATTGCTTGGCATTGCTTGGCATTGCTTTGCATTGCGTGGCATTCCTTGGCATTGCTTGGCATCGCAAGAACGTGAGGCGACGGGGGCTGGGAACCCGAGGAACCTCCGGGGAACGGGCAAAGTAACAATAGGAGGCACCAACCTTTAACCAAATAAGAACCCCTTAGGCAAGCTTCGTTGGGGAAATAGGAGGCACCGGGGGCGGGGAAGCCGAAGAACCCTAGGAACCCGAAGCACTTCCGAACAAGGGGCAAGGTAGTAATAGGAGGCACCAACCTTTGACCAAGTCAGAACCCCTTGGGCAAGCCCAAGTGGCCAAAGCGCTGTCTGGGTCGATCCCCGATGCATCCCAGCCATAAGCTCTGGACCTCGGGGGAGGAGGAGGAGGAGAAGGAGGAGGAGGAGGAAGAGGACGGAGGGGGAGGAGGAGGAGGAGGAGGAGGAGGAGGAGGAGGAGGAGGAGGAGGAGGGGAAGGAGGAGGAGGAGGAGGAGGAGGAGGAGGAGGAGGAGGAGGGGGATCTGGTGCAGGGACTGCGCCGCCCCCTGGGGCTGCAGGAGGGTGCGCCTGCTCGGGCCACTGCGCCCGCGAGGCGCCCCCGCACGGGCCGCCTGCGCAGACTCCCAGGCGGCCGGAGGACTCAGCATCGCTCGGACGTGTGCATCTCCTCCTCCTCCTCCTCCTCCTCCTCCTCCTCTCTGCTCCTTCCTCCTCCTCCTCTCCTCCTCCTCCTCCTCCTCCTCTCTCCTCTCCTCCTCCTCCTCCTCCTCCTCCTCCTCCTCCTCCTCCTCCTCCTCCTCCTACTCCTCCTCCTCCTCCTCCTCCTCCTCCTCCTCCTCCTCCTCCCCCTGGTGTCGGAGATCACCATCGAGGAGCGGGCCCGCACGGCCGAGGAGCCGGGAGCCCTCCTCGCTCGAGCCGCACGGTGCTGCGGGCGAGTCTGTCGATGGAGTTCCGCCTCCTTCTCCTCCTCCGCCTCCTCCTCCTCCTCTTCCTACTCTTCCTACTCCTCGGGCCGGACGAACGCGGGATGTCAAGGGAGGAAAAAACACCCTGACCCCGACGATCGGCGTGTGCTAAGCGGCCCTGGATCATCCCGCGAGCAAAAGACACGCACGAGACCGAATCGTGCACGGGGAAGGGACGCCCGAGCGCTGGCAAGAGGAGGGGGATCGGCGGCGAGCGCTCAGCACAGGAGGAGAGGATAGCGATACCGAAAATCATGGCGGGAGCTTTTTTTGCTACGTTCGGCCTCTGCCCCGGGGCCGTCGGGAAACGACTCGGGATGAAACACCGGCCCTGGGGAATGGGTCGAAGCCTCAGGGTGTCGACGTGATGAACAAATCATGACGTCGGGGGTTTGGGGCAAGAGTCCTCGGCGAGCGAGGGGGGGGAAGTGCAAAGGGGGAGGCCTTGTCGGAAGGCGGCGAGGCTTCTCAGAAGTCTTCGCGCCGTCTGGAAGGTTTCCTGTGTCTTCGGAGAAGGCTCCGACAACTTCTCAGAGGCCCCCCACCTCCGAGCCTTCTGAGAAGGCACGCACCCCCTCTCACGTTCTCCCGGGGGCCTGGCTGCCGAGAGTGCGGGCTCCCAGGCAGCCGAAGGATCAGGGAGGGACTCGAGCATGTTCCCCGGCCAGGCTCCCTGCCTTTCTATGGACCTGCGCGCAGGAGCCTGACAGCCTTCTTGTCTGGTCCGCGGCGCAGCGTTGAGGGTGTCGACGCGTCGCCCCCGGCGGCCAGCGGATCCCACACAGACGCTGCACATCGGGCACGCCTCCCGAGCGCACTGCGCCCCCGACCCTCCAGACCTGCCCCCCCCCCGGCATACAGTGGAAGCCCATGCCAAGAAACACCCTGGTTGCCTCCAGGGTGCCCTGGGTTACTTGGGCTTCGAGAGGCTTGCCATGGAGAGCGTGACGTGCCCACACCACAAAAGTCAGTGGACGTCCTGGGGTCTTCCCCGGGGCGCTGCGTCCCCCTTCCGCGCCAGTCGAGGCCGCCCTGCGCGTGCGGAGTGGCCTTGCGCCTGGAGGGGCATGGCTGCGCAAGGATCCGCAGGATCGACAAGGGCAGGGGGAGTGGGGAGGGAGGGGGAGGGGGAGGAGGAGGAGGAGGAGGAGGAGGATGAGGAGGAGGAGGAGGAGGAGGAGGAGGAGGAGGAGGAGGAGGAGGAGGCGGGAGGAGGAGGAGGAGGAGGCGGAGGAGGAGGCGGAGGAGGAGGAGGGGGGAGGAAGGGGAAGATGTCCTCGTCCTGCTCCTCGCCCCTCCCGTCCCCCCTTCCCCTCCGCCCGCCGAGGTGCAGGTCGAGGGGCGGGTGCCTCCGCCCGCCGCCGCGGCGCCGTGGGCGGCCCGCAGGGCCCCCTCGCCGCCCCCCCCCTCCCCCCCCCCCTCGCCCGCCGGGAGCGCAGGGGGGGTCGCAGGGCAGCATCGGCGGCGAGCGATAGGGGGAGGGTGAGGTGAGAGGGAGAAAGCCTTCGGGGAAGGCTCGTCGTCGTCCTCCTCCTCCTCCTCCTCCTCCTCCTTCTCCTCCTCCTCCTCCTCCTCTCCTCAATCTTCTCCTCCGCCTCTGACCACTGCCCCAACCTCCAAGCCCAAGACGAAGGGGCGGGCGCACACTTCTCCGGGGGCCGGGGGACTTCCGGGCCTTCTGCGGGAACGTGCACGGGAAGGGGACGCCCGAGCGCTGGCAAGAGGAAGGGGATCGGCGGCGAGCGATCAGCACAGGAGGAAAGGATAGCGATACTGAAAATCATGGCGGGAGTGTTTTTTTTGTTGCTATGTTCGGCCTCTGGGGGCCCTCGCTGCGCCCCGGGACCGATGGGAAACGACTCGGGATGAAAAACCGGTCCTGGGGAATGGGTCGAAACCTCCCTGGGTATCGACGTGATAAAAGATTACCCTGCGACGTACCCAACCCGATGGCATCACATGGCAAGATGAGTAGGGAAACATTAGCAGGAACCGTGACAGTGCATGCGCGGCGATTTGTAGTGCGACCTACATGGGATGCGTAATGTTGCACGACTCACAGAACAGCAATCGATAAGACGAGGAGTAGGTCTCAAGGCTTTTTAAACATTGACGGGGGAGGGAACGAGGGACAGGAGAAGGACTAACCTAATAGCAAGGGGCGAGGAGCCATCGCGGCAGCAGCAGCAGCGTGACTACATAAGGTGACAGGAGGCCTTGGGCGGCGATGATGACAGAGGCGGGAGAAAGGAAGAGACTGTACCGTTTTTTTGCAGGAGCTCGGTCAGCGCATGCCTGCTGCCTGTCCACAGGATCATACCTGTTTATATCTAGTGCAGGAAGCGATCGAGACCTAGCTCGCGCGCCAACTTCTCTGCCTCCTTCCTGCATGTTGCAGTGCGGGAACTGAACTTCCGCAGTTTCTCCGCAAGGTCTGCTGGTGGGCCGCGGGCATGAAAGTCAAGGCCGGGGTCGCGCACCATCAGTAGGTTGTCTATCGTCGTCGCCCTGGACAGCATCACGTAGAGGTGCAGCCACAGAGCGTCCAGGTCGTTCGCATCCTTGCACCCTGCGTCAACAATGACTCCGCGGTGCATGGTGCGGCCCTGGCAGGCAGTGGACGTCAGGACCCCGGCGTGGGAAATGACGAAGCCAGTGCGCGTGACCTTGCACTTGCGGAAGTCGAACTGGCTCGAGCTCTGTGGCTCGATGAAGACGAGGCCCGCCGCGTTCTCAGCGTCGATGCTGTCATCGAGCTCCTTGAGCTTCTTTCCGCAGGGGCCACCCTTGTACTTGTCCATGCGCACCCACACGCCGTACGGCAGGTACCGCAGGTACGCCCGACCTCCCTCGGCCTTCGCTCTCTCCACCACGCCCTCATCCTTGGGGTTGATGGCCACGTGCACGACCTCGCCCTCGGCGTCCTTGACGAGCCCCTTGTCGAGGTCCAGGTGCTCCAGCAGGCGTACGCGCATGCCCACGTGCAGCGGCAGCATCCCGTGAATGCCGCCCGTGTCGCCCGGGTTTACGCGGTTGACCAGCTTCGCGGCCAAGTCCACGGGCAGCGAGGGCGAGGACTTGTCGGCTGCCTGGACGAGGTAGAGCACCCGCCCGAGAGACGCGGCGCCCCTCCTCGCCCGCATCATCATCCACCGAGCCACGGTGTCCCAGAACCAGGCGATCATGTGTCCAGTCTGGAACCGCTCTTCCCCCAGTCGGGGGTCGTTGGGCTTCATCTGAATGCGTCTCCAGGTCTCCGCGATCTTCTGAGGGACCTTGCCCTTCTTCGGCTTGCGCATGTAGTTCATGAGATCGGCAAGATCGGGGTCCTTGAAGCGGTTGGTGGCCTGGAGCTCGAAGCACAGTTTCGTGTCGCAGAAGAACGTCATTGCCGTCTGGTGCTCGACGGGCGGCCCCTCCTTCCGACCTTGTCGGCGGACCCCAACCGCCGCAGGTCGGTCAGCAGTGACATGCCGGAGCCGGTAGGTTTCAGCTGCAGGAAGTCTCCGAGGTACATCACGATGGGGACGCGGCCGAAGGCGCCTCTGGGACGCAGGTAGTGCGCCTCCTGCAGGTTGCATTTTGCGCGCCTGGCGAGGAATGCGCGGTAGGCCAGCATGTTGAAGAGGTTCGGCGACACCATGCTGACCTCCTCGATGACGAACAAGCGCAGCTCCGACCAGATGTCCTGCAGTCGTTTCAGGACATCGGCCGTTGGCAGCATGGCGTGGTTGCGGTGCTCCCCGATGCCCATCTGCGCCGCCCTGTGGCACGTGGTCGCCTTGTGGTGTTCGGTGGAGATGTTCTCGGCCTGGGACCACTGGGCGCAGACGATCTGCGTGGTCTTCTTTCCATTCTCTCCGACGAGGAGGAAGTCAATCGCGGGCAGCGCGATCTGCTGGACGATCGCCGTCTTGCCAGAGCCGCCCTGGCCCATCAGGAGCATCTGGAAGGTCTGCCGTTGTGCCCATGGCTTGTCTTCTTTCTCGTCATCCCATACGGTATTGCAGGCCTCCGCGAACTTCGCCAGGAACAACGTCTGGTCCCGCTTCAGCGTGCGCGGAACTCGCTTCCCGGTGGTCGGGTCGACGGGGCCCCGCTCGAACTTCTCCGCGAGATGTGCCGCGTAATCGCTCGGGCGGCGCCAGGTGTCATTGGGCGCGAAGTACGCCTTCGGCTCGGGGCGGCGCCGCGGAGGCCGGCTGTTAGAGTGTTCTGCATGCGGGTCCGAAGGACGACCACTGTCATCTGACGCAGGGGGCGCGGGGCCGTCCTGTGCCGACGACTCCCCCTCATCTTTCTTGATGCTCCAGGACTTCCTCTGGGCGTCCACCAGCTGTGTCAGCGCGGCTGGTTCCAGGTGCGCCAGCATGTCGTAGCGCAGCAGGATGTCGTCCTTCACGCGGGTCGCGCGCTGATCGGCACCGTCCTCGCGGTTCCGTGGCGCGGGCAGACCGCCGTCGTCCAGGGTCATCACGGACGTGCTCATGAGCTCCTTCACGAACCTTTGGGTCCGGTCTGCAGTGTCGAAGCGGAGGATCTTGTTCAGCCGCTCAATATCGAAATGATGGGTAATGGTCGTGTCTGAGCCGAGGGTAGCGAGGCTTGCCGTGGCACGCAGGGCGGCCGCCTCGATCTGGCCGTCCGCCTCGCTGTCGTCCTCTCTCCCATGTTGTTCGATGACCTCGGGGACGGCCACGTCGTCGTCGGCCTCCCTCTTCTGTCTGGGCTCCGCGCGCGCTCGAGCGATGCGCGCGAAGTTTACCGAGGTCTCTGTTGTCATCAGCGCGACGTATTCCTGGACCGAGGGCAGCAGCTCGCCCTCCCTGTCCGGAAGCGCATGCGCGCCATCGTCGTCCGGAAGCGCAGCGCCGGTTCCCTTGCTGCGTTTCTCTTCGGCGTCGATCTGGAACAGCCGCTGGTGCACCTCCGCTGTCCGCCACAGACTGGGCGCGCTGGCGGCCAGTCGCGTCTTGCGCCGCGCCTCGCAAGCTGCCTTCTCCTGCTCCAAGAGGAAGGACTGCCGGCCGCGCTGGAACGGCCCCGGGTTCCCAGGGCCCAGGTTCTCTACGGGCCATTTCTCTTCGCCGGGAGGTGCCGTGCACAGCGCCTGGCACGCCTGCTCCACGCGCATCTCCCGCGAGTTGCTCTCGTCCATGGGCTGAGGGTACACGGGGCGGAGAAGTATGGACAGCATCATGTAATGCGGTTCTGCGTCCGACTCTGAGATGAACTGCATGCCCTCGGGCATCGGCACCCGCGGCTCCATCGCGAGTCGCTGCACGAAGGTCCCCCGTGACGGGTGGGCGTCGTCGAAGGGGATGTCCACGTGCCGCGTCGGAGGCGGGCGGTCTGAAGATTTCCCGCGCGCGGTGATGTTCTTCTCAGCGCGGTACACCCACATGCTGTACACGTAGAGGTTCATGTCGCGGACGATCGGGTCCGTGCCTCGATGCAGCCAGTCGTCCAGCTGACTCATGACGAAAGTAGTAGATTTGCGCCCCGTGGCATCGGCGCCGAGGATGCTGCCCGTCGGGTCGGCGGGGGCGGGCATCTCGTCCTCGGCGGCGCCCTCTTTCAGTTCTCTGGTCAACTTGTTGAGCGTCCTGACGGCCGCGTCCGGGTCGGCGCTCGCCTGCCCCGAGCGCCTCTGCGACTTCAGAGTCTCTTCGAGGAAGTCCAGGGAATTGAACTCCTTGCCGTCGGGGTCCGTGTAGACTCTCCAGCCGTCACTCACCCGGCTCCGCCAGCCGGGAGGGAGTTCCACCTCGGTGCCGTCAGAGCAGGTGTAGGTGGGCTGGCAGTGCTCATCCTCCTTCTGCTGTGTCTCCAGTTGGCCGTAAGCAGCGCGCCAGGCCGAGCCCGCGTGCCAGATGGCCTTGCGCAGGAACATGTTCCAGCAGCGGTGTGTCGAGAACGACATGTGCCCGAAGAGCATCGGGAACGCCATCTCGCAACCGCTCTTCCAGGAGGCCCGGCGGAAGCACGACTCCATGCGACTGAGGAGCAGTACGACTCGCCTCCAGGCCTGCTGCCTGCGCGCGGCAGGTGTATCATTTTCCTCATCGCGCGGCGCATCGTCTGCCTTGCGCCAGTCGTCGGTCAGGCGGCGCACTCCGGCCAGCAGCTTCTCGAGCACGGTGTCCATCGTCGGGTTCACCTTCGTTGTGCAGGAGTTGATGTAGTAGCCTGCGTTGTGAGCGTCCACGAACATCGCTATGGCACACTTCCTTCCTGCCTCGAAGAGCGGCCCTGCCTGGTCGCGTGCTTCCCCGCAGGCCTCGTCTCCGTCACAGTGTTCGTCCGGGCCCGAGGGGCGACCGATCTCATGCGGCGGCATCTCCC